CATATTCCACACCATCATTAGCATCTTCTAATGGTGGCATAGATTCATCATCAGATTCACCCTCGGTTTCAATTTCTCCATCTTCTCTCAAGATCATCGTGTGCTTATTAGGACATTGCGATGCAACATCCCCCCTTCCCAAGCATTGAAAGCACTTGATGTCTCGGGTTCTGCCTTGTGTATTAGCTGTTTTACTCTTCTCATTGCTGCCAACTTCTTTTGCCTTAGATGCTGCAGTTTTAAGCTTAAAAGCAGAATTTTCTTCCTTTTTGCTCCAATTCAGTTTCCAAGAAGATGAGGAACCTGAATTTTGCCCAGTTCTGTTGGTGGCTCCTTTACGCTTAAGTTGCCATTCTATTTTCATCGCCATATGCACCATATCTTCTAATTCCACTTAATGTTGCAGCTCTACCACATTAACTATATGACGATTTAAGCCATGCAGAAACCGTGCCATAGTTGCTTCTCTTTCCTCTTCCACATTAACTCTAACCATTGCAATTTCCATCTCTTTGTGATAATCCTCAACGCTTTTGGACCCTTGAGTAAGGCCCTACAATCGCTGATAGAGATCACGATAGTAGTGACTAGGAACAAATCGTTTTCTCATCACAGCTTTCATCTCTTCCCAAGTGTCAACAGGATGCTCTCAATTTCTACGTCGACTAAGCACAAGGTGATCCCACCACACCATAGCGTAATCAGTAAATTCCACAGCTGCTAGTTTCACCTGTTTCTCCTCAAAATAGTTGTGGCAATCAAACACCAATTCCACCTTCTTTTCCCATTCCAAATACACATCTGGATCATTTTTGCCTTGAAACGGAGGAATCTTCATCTTGATGCTACTTAAGTCACGATCTTGCTGATCTCCCCACCTCATTAGATTTTGCTCTCTTTGGTTAAACCTACCTTTTTGATCCCTTATACCTCTCATAAATCTGTCCATGCTAAAATTTGAGTTATGGGCATCATCGTTGAATGCACCTTCATAATCATCATTGAGATCATCATTAGCATCATTCCTACACAAATTCGGACTTCCATTCTGTATTTGGTATAAATTGGCTATAGCTGCATCTTGCTTGTCCATTTTGTCTCTAATCTCACCAAACATGATGTCCAGCCTCTGAAATTGTTGTTGCATTGCTTTGAGCATGAGAGATTCATCCACATGGTGTCTTCTAGTGGTTGGTTTGTCATCAC